CAACTGAAACCTCATCCGTGTGTCTGTGTGAGTGTGTGTTTTCATGTTTTGTGTGTGTGTGTGTGTGTGTGTGTGTGTGTGTGTATATATATTCATGGACGGCCAGCTGTGTCCCAATGAAATAAATGCCACTCTGTTCCAGGAGAAAAGGTCACAGCATTATAGACAAGCACTTCAATCTGGGAAAGGACGGACAGTGGAGGGAATGAAAGAAGCGATGGAGGGAAAGAGAGAAGTAAACGATTTAGAGGAAAACTAACGACTGCAAAGAAAAAGGAGACTATGGGATGGAGGGATGGAAGAATAGATGGTCTGAGTTAAGAGAATAAAAACACTAACAACCCCAATCCGCAGTGGGTCCAGTAGGAGGGACAAAAGGATGGATGGAAGGAATAGAAAAAGATGGAGGAGAATGAATTGCATCAATCCTGTGTGAGAGCATGAATGATTGAATAGAAAAAAAGAGGGATCAGCCAATGGACGGTATGGAAATTGGCCCAACACAGAAAACTAAGAGACATGTAAAACATGGATGGATAGATGGAATAGGACAGATGGAGCGAGAGAGCAAAATAGTCTTGAGACCGAACATTGTTAAGATATTGTGTCTTTTCATTTTCCGGCCATTTCGTTCCTTAAAGCCTTGGGCCGGGATTAAATTTGATTATTCTTGAATGTAATTTATTGGAAAAGTTCTCCTTTCTGTCTCTGACTGTTCCAATTGTGTGCGCAAGTAAATAAACAAATAAATGCCCTTTGGGGAAAGTGATACAGCTTATCCAATTTGTTGGATTAGCCTGGCAAGCTAGCAGTCAATATTGTATAATCTAAAACAAAAGTAAGCGTCCAAGTTCAGGTTTGAGAATTACAGTTACAATTATTCCTTCTGTTGGTGTTTGTATTTCAGCTTGAGGTGATAGCGGTGCTCCTATTAATTATGCTTTTGTCGGCTAATATGGGAAAAGGAATATGTAAAGAAGAATACTAAAAATCAGCACTTTTCTGATTCAGTAACAGTACCTCAAGTGAGTTGAAAAGCAGAAAATATTATTAAAGGTCACATATTATCCTCCTTTTCAACCAGTTTAAATAAGTCTAAGAGCTCCCAAAAATATGTCTGTGAAGTTTCTTGGTATAACCCACTCCCACCCTGTATTTCCACCCTATAAACCCCTCTATTTCAGCCTTGTTCAGAACAGGCTGTTTCTGTGTCTGTACCTTTAAATGCAAATGAGCTGTGTTAGACCACGCCTCTGGAAGGGGATGTGGCTCGGGCTTTCTTGCACCATACCCTTTTGTTTACTGTGAGAAGCCAAACTTAGAGGGCAGAACAAACACCTAGGTCTGGGAGTTTCAACCAGTGAGGGAGGGAGTACGTCCCTTTGTGATGTCACAAAGGGAAAATCTCATAATTTTGGGGTTTGTAGACAGGCTAGGGGCACATACAGTACTAGTGTTCCAAAAACATGGTAAAGTGTATTTAACTCGCTAAAGTTGCCGCATGGACAAAAATAGGGGAACTTTAAAAAAAAAAAATAGTTTCTTTATTTACGCATTCAGGTGTGTTTATCTACAAGATTTCACATCTTTGGCCCACTGCAGTTTCCCCCACTGCAAGATATTTCCCCACCTGAGAGAGGAACTGTGTGTTTGAAGAACAGCCCCTTGACTACATTATTTCTGCATCGTGATTGCGAGTGATAACAGTTTTTGAAGCCCTGGCCGTCCTGCTTATGTATGCCAATCCACCTGAGAATTTGAGCATGTACAGTATATTACATTAGCAGTAGAGCATGAAATGTTCTTCCCATGTGCAGTTGGTTGAATACATATCTTCTGTGTGCTTCTCTGATGTCATTTTCAACATCCATGTAAACCGGTGAAAGCTGAAAAGCAATATCAAGTTTGTGTTCTGTGTCTTTTGGGTTACTAGAAGCATGAAACCAACTTATAACTTCAACCCTATATCCTCTTGGCCTCAATTGATTCTTAAGCGCTTTAGTTTAGTTCTTTATAAATCCTTGTAGGCCCTGCAAATCAGACAAACTTGGTTAAACTGGGACACAGAAAGGCTTCTTTTCTTCTGTGAAAAAATAGACAACATTGCATTGGTTGCATAAAGAGGGCTGTGAGAAAATTACAAAACTTTGACTTGTTTTATTACTGTAGCAAACATTGTCTGAATAAGTCTATGGACTCAATTATTTGGAGTAAAATTAGTAAAACAAAGGTATGCACCAGAGTGTGGCTACCTGTGATCGACAATTGTCCAAATATGGTCAAAAATGTTTTAACTTAAACCCAGGTCAAACAAACAATCTATGTTGAACAATAAACTGGTAAATTACCCAGTTTACTTTGTCCTAAACTCCGTTACATTTTCAGGTCTTAGGACATTTGTATCAGAATATGTTATTCTATGTCTATGTTATTCTATTTTCCAGCCATTTTTCAGAGCTAAGGGGGAATCTAAGTTTATCAAAGACAGAGCTGAATTCCTGAAATGTAAAGCTTCCGTAAGAAATGTTTAGCTTGTAATGCTGAAGTCCGAACTGATATTGAACAGATGCCTCTTTATGACATAAAAAACCCAACACCATTAACAAGTAGACTAGAGTATTTCTGTGTCATAATTATATGCCTGAGAAGATCAACAACTTGCTGCAGAAACATCCGACTTCATATTTCCCATGCAAACGGATTCATTGTGATTCATGTTTTAAGATTTTTTTTCCAGAAAACATGACTTCAATATGTACAGGAAAAGATCAGCAATGAGATAACTCTTCCTACTTTGTCCACAGGGGGCGCCAAGATCCACACAACCTAAAAGTTCCTCACTGGCACTAAGAAGCATGTAGCGCCATAGTGGAGGTTTTTTCGTAATAAAACACTTCAAACTTGCTAAAACATGACGCCTTAATTCAAGTACAAAATATGAGATTTTAAAGTGGACCTGAGGAAAGAGAGAAACAGCCCCTGGAAATCATAAAACCCAGCCATCAATTTGGTCAATATCAAGGGAGTGTACAGCAACACCCAGACCAAATTAGTCTGAATTTAATTTGGCCCTGGTCTGACTCCAGTCTGGGTTTTTGGACATTAGAGTATAGCACAGTTTCAGAAGCAATCCATCAAGCAACACAATTATATGGCTCTGTTGGAGGAAAGGATGAAGAAATGAGGTAAAAGGAGAGGGACATTTAAGAGAAAGATTTCGGTGTGTAAAGAGAGCAGGGGAATAAAACGTGGAAGAATTGATGGATTAAAAACTGAGAGGGATAAATGAGAAAGAGGGGATGTGAGGTAGACGAGGGAGGAGAAGTGAAAGACTGTTGGGAGGATGGAGGGAGAGAGAGAGAAAAACAAAGAGAGGGAGAGCAGGCTGAGCAATAAAGGAATAAATCTCATTTCATTCTGGCTGCTGGTCTACGAGCTGATGAAACTAGATGAGAGAGTTGATTTAAAGGGACATTGACCTTTGGCCCCCGGGGGCCTCTCGCTTACAAGAACATTCACTCAGACACTTTTATGTGGCTCTTACAGATTGGGTAAGCCTCAGCCAATGTGCACGTCACTGAAAACCAGGGCATGGCAATGAAAATGTATCACATTATCATCATTATTATTCTTGAACCATAAATACTTTCCAACATATTGAATACTGTGATTGTTCTCTATTTTATGCATATAAGTGATATCTTTTTTTTTTCAAATAAGTACAGTGATTTTTGACAATTATTGTAGTGTATTTTATAGTTAAGTCACAAGCGATTATTAGGCCTGGTCAAATTGCATCCCTATGACACGTCATTTAGTCCTGCAGTGTACACTAAAGCACCACAGCCAATCACAGCACTGCCATCAGGCACACAAAGTCCCTCTGGCCCAGAAAAAAAATCTTTACAAAAAATCTTTCATTCCCTCTGCAATAACTACCCTGAACAAAATCAAATAGAGGCCCTTTATAGCAGCTTTTTTTTTTTTTTTTTGCAATCCTCTTTTAATGTCTGTACTTTGTGTTGTGTTTTTTAAACATGTTTTTAATGTACGTTGTGTTTCAGGTTTGAGCCTTGTCAAAGGAGAATTTATGTCACTGTTGGGACAGACAATAAAGTTTATCTATCTATTAACTATCTATCACTATCAGCTGCTACCATTTGGTCGGATGTTTTCAGGCATGTTTGAAATGTTGGTACGACTGCACACTCTTGCACAGTGAGAGCAGAGCCACGAGCTGACTTCAGGGCTTCATTTGGATTAATCTGTCCTGCTTTACCATGCTTTGGGTCTCGAGTCTTTAGCCGTGCAGCTCCCCATCTCTGGAACTCTCTCCCACAAACCATCTGTGAAATCAACTCCCACCTTTTCAGATTAGCTTAGTCTGTCTGACCACGCCCTTCTCACTATTGATGTTTTTCTGTTTTTCATGTAGTTGATTGTGTCCTTGTTTTTACTCACTGTTTTTACTGCTGTGTCTGTAAGGTGACCTAGAGTGACGTGAAAGGCGCCCATAAATAAAATGCATTATTGTTTGCTTGCACAGTATGTTGTGTTTTATGTATTTTCTTTAAATCAATGTGTCAGGCCATGCTGCACTGGGATTTGAAATAATGCTGATTGAGCCATTTGTTCCATTTATAAGTGCAGTTAAAAAAGCCCATCAAGGCCAAAGACATCAGAAGATGAGCTGCATAATTCCTGAATATAGACTTCATAAGTTCTTCCTTTGTGCTAACCTCCCATCAAATGTCATAAACAGTAAATTTGTATTGCTACTGATCTCCCTGGGTCAGCACTCACTCACTCAACACGTCAATCAGAGGGGAAAAAAAAAAAAAGTTCAAATGTAATTTGCTCGCCAAAGTTTCCACTTCAAACTTTCAATACTAGGAATGAGAGAACACAGGCCAACCAATATTCAAACACATAAAACTAAATGTTGTGCACATGATGGGAACTTAGGGAATTGTCAGAGCATACATGTGAGGAGTACTTACCACCTAAAGCTTGTTTCATCACAAAATCCATGATTCCTGGTTGGTGTAGTTGTTCTTCTCAAAACCAAAGAGAACTGAGCATGTAGCCACCAAGCCTGGGATCTCTGGGTGTCTCAGTGTCCTCTTCCTCTGTCGTTACGCTGAACGTCTTCACCAACTCTCCTCTGGACCTGAGAGAGAGGACATTAAAAACATTAGTTTGAAACACATATTCAGAAAAACGAATAATCAAGAAAACGCTGAGTGCACAATTTCATCACCAATACGTCAATATAGACACTACAATCAACAATAGACCTCCAACAATTTAAGCATCGGACCGAGCGAGGGAGCAGACAACATGGATGTTAAAACAACAGATAATGAGATCATCTCAACACCCTCCAGCCCTGTGACAGGAATCTCATTCTGGGAAACGGTAAATCAATACTGAGGCCATTTACCCAAAGTCACTTATCTGTCTGTAACTCAATACCAAAGCATCAGTCACATCTTTCATCACTGGCCGGTCGTAAACATTTCATGGAAAATGAAACCATGTTTTTCCGATAAATCCGTCAAACTCAAACATGGCACACACCCAACATTCATTCAGGTTGAAAAAAATATATATTAAAGTACATGAAAACACACTTGCACCACATGTAAAATAAATACCAAAAGATATTGACCTTCAATATCTCGTGAAAAATGTAAAAGCTATGACATTATAGTGTCTCAGTTATAAAAGCCACTTCCTTTATTTCCACCACAGATGACCATCTCTGTGAAACTTGTTTAATTGCACTGCTGGACTCATCATAAAACCTTGAATCTTTACAGTGCAGAGTGATATATAAAGTGGGTTTCTGAGGGGGGTTAGGGAATGATGTTTTTATTTGGATATCTGTTTACAGAGACACATAAATGGACTTGTATAGCGCTTTTCTAGTCTTCTGACTACTCAAAGTAATTTTACACTGCAGATCACGACTACCCATTCACACTCTGATTGCAGAGGCTGCTATGTAAAGTGGACATCAGCAGTGTATTGCCTAAGGACACATCGGTCATGTGGCTGCAGGAGCTGGGGCTCAAACCCCCAATCTACCAACTGTGCCACAGACGCCCCTAATGATCGTTAGAATATTGCCAACGGGAGTCGTTGGAGGGATAAAGGCTCCACCTGATTTTGGCTGTCTGCATTTAAAAAAGTTTGCTGATGCATAATTGGTCAATGCAGCTTGGACTACAAATGTACTACAAATGCAAATAAGAACACTTCCCATACTGAAAATCCAGACCCCGTCTACAGATTCTACAAACTTATGCGAATCTGTAAAAAGAGATTACTGGTCCTTATGAATAGTAAATTGATCAAATCCAGTGCCTGTTCTCACTCTCGTGTAGAAATCTCCCTGTTTTTGAATAGTGCTCCACCTGCAGGCCTGGGGAAATTTCATTATGATGACTCGATATGCAGCTTTCCTTTTGTTGTAGTTGTTTTACTGGGTTTGTGTTTTTCTGACATTGCATCCTTTTGGAGTTATTGCATGTTTTCTGTTGTTTTGGCCTTCTGCTCATGTTGGCTGATAACCACCATTTCATGTACTATTTAGAGAGGTGAGAGAAGCTGCCTACTTCTCAACCTTGTTGCTCATTACCTTATGGTGAAATGATGCCCTGTTGTCTCTGCACTGTGTCCCTGTTTTCTCTCACTGTTGCCCTTTTCTCTCTATCTGATAAAGTGCTTGTTTGCATCCATGCCAACCAAGATGAAATCCTCCACAATTACTGCACCTGGTGAACCAGAACAGCATTTCCATTTCAACGCTGATTCCTCCTGCTCCCCTCGCTGAGCGCCTGGTGTCATTTCAATTTGCCAACACTTGCCAGAGCTGAATAGGGTCAGAATGAGATGAGATGAGATGAGATGAGATGAGATGGGACTGGATGAAAGATTGAGCCGCCAGGTTTATTCTGGGAGGGGACAGGGTGGGGACAAGCTGTGTGGGAAGACAAATCATTCATAGCTGCGAGGGTTTCAGGGTGTGCAGGGCCTCATTTTCATACACAACAACACACGATTTCATTAACAAAAACCCAAATGTCTGCAGGAACACACTAACGCTGCACACTTAACCTTGCATGAGGAGGAGCTGTGTTTGTGTGCATGAATATAAAAGAACAGCTGATTATTTAAATGCATTTGTTAGTGAGAGTACACAAGAGTGTCCTTGATGCGAGTGTATTGAAAGGAGGAACATTTTGTACACTTTTAAGTGATTTAATCATTACTAAGTGACTGTGCTTTTTACACTCAGTCCTTATTCAGGACTTTTGAAGAGCCTTGGTTTGAAGTGTGTGTTTGTGTGTGTGAATTACTGTAGGCAGTCAGTTTCTAATATTTACGTAGAAAAAACATTTATCGTTGGGTTGCCTAATATGGAGGAACATTGGACAGTTAAAGCACCATAAAAAAATAATGTTAAGACGAACAGCACATTAATGACACACCTTATTATTAATTGTGTATTATTGATTCTGATTGGCCAATCATGCATAGCAACAGTCTGCTATTCCTCGATAGCAGACATTTGTTAAAAAGAACAGACCGTTGCTATGAGGAGTCGACTGTTGCTAGGGATGCTGGTCTAATCACACAGAGTCTGGCTTTAACTAACATTAATCGTATCAATCCACCGAAAGATGTCTGGTTAATTTAGTTTAGTGCTTTAGTGGGGGAAATAGGGAAGGAACAAAAACAGCAAAGAAAAAGAGGTTACAAAAACTGTAAGCTGTGACAGAGAAATCTCCAAAACTGCAACACTGCAAATGAAGTAAACGCGTGACAGAACATTGTATGGGACCTGAAATTTGCATTTTCCTAATAAGCTATTTTATAATAAGACATTTGAAAGATGGAGAGAGGTTAGAGCGCAGAAAGGTTTCAAGAGCGATGCAGAGCTGGCTAAACTCTGAAGCTTCCATGTCTGCGACATGCACATTGACTCTATGTAGGAAGGGTGCGGGGGAAACAGCTCTTTCCAATGTTTTGAATTTGGACTGCAGTTCCCATTTTTAGTGCTAGGTGTCAGAGTTACCTATTGCTCATTTAAAGATGGTAAAATAAAATGTCAACAGAGACAGTGACAAGGCAGAAAAATGTATTAAATGTAGCATCTGAAGGATTATTTCTTAAGAGGACAGGATAAAACAATTTTTGTATCAATGCATTCATTTCCAAATAATACATATTGAGTCCATTTAATGTTTTTGCTAAGTTAGTAGAAGTGTTATACGTGTTTAGATAGTGGGTTTTTTTGGAAATAAATCCCCATTTTTTATTTTTTATTTTATTATTGGTTAAATGTCTTCTTTAGACTCTAAAGATGATTTCATTTTAAAGAAGGTAGCATTTGTCACCCTGTGTCCCCTCCATAAGCATCATGATATGTAACAGATCCATAAACTTGTTTACCATTGGATCTTTCCAGATACTGTGGCAGTGCTTACTATTGAATTTAGAGACGTGATTTGATTTGATGTTTTTTATGTTTCTGCATTCGTCGTTATCGGTCATTATTTTGATTTGGTTCAGTCTTAAATCAAAACATCACAGTACAAAAGAGGAAAACAGGCCATATAGGTTATATACAGTACATGTGTGTGTATTTGTGTGCGTGCGTATGCGTGTGCGTGCGTGTGCGTGTGCGTGTGTGTGTGTGACTATGTGTGTGTATGACCTCTGGTGTTTTCGGTCTGGCAGAAGAACATCTCTGTTATCATTACAGAAACACACTCAAGGACACTCTAATGGAATAAAAGAGAGATGAAGCCGTTAGACAAGGACATCTGGAAGAAAAGGACACACACACACACACACACACACACACACACACACACAGAATACACTGTTATTGTATTAAGGGTATTCTAACCTTGACATTGAAGTCATGAACCTTGAAGATATTCAATTATCTGTAAGGGCAGAGATGAAACCGTTCTGTTGTTTTTTTATTTTTCTTTCTTCTGAAACAAAATAAGTGTTTTTTTTTTTCATTTTATTGTTCTAGTTGTGCGTTTCAAATGAAAGTTATAATATCAGTAAACCCTGCACATATGACTTTGTATCAGTGAATTCTCTTCATCACTACTTTCCTGTATTTGTCCGTCTCTCTCAGTATTATTTCTGCTCTCCATCACTGATGATCTCTTCCTGTTGTTAATCTCTTGTATGAGCTACACTGTCATGACACTGTCATTCAATTTCATTTTGTTGTTGCTGTATATGTCTAGAAACCATGGTTATAATAGTTGTGACATTTTCACTATTTAACTATTTTGTTTTCAATTTCATTTCAGTTTGAATTATTATTTTTTGACTGTGTCTCAGTTTAGCTCAGATTTCATTCGTTTTAGTGTTTTTGCAACAGGCCTGATGATAACTTCAAGACCCAACAGGGCCAGACAAAGTAAGCATCATATCACTTTGTGGTTTGCGCACACAAACTTCATGATGCCACCTGATGCATAAACAGAAATCTCTGTGCCAGAGATAAACCATGAAGCATGAAGATGCACAATGAAAACTAACCGCATTTCTGCAATAACTTTATTTCATTTTAGTAAGTTTTGTAAACACAAAATTAAGTTACAGTCAGCGTTTTATTTGTAAAGCCTTGTTTTTGTGACACACATACAAACATATATGTTGATGCACAAACACACAGAAACACGCTCCTGCTATGCAGTTATGTATTCTCACAACAGCGTTGATATTGAATACGATTTTCTGTATTGTCATTTCATTGAGAGACACCAGGGGTAGTTCTGCAATTTTAACCTTTTTTTCAAAGAACTTGTTTTAAAGTGGGTCATATTTAATTTGGTGCAACACAAACAAGTCCTGTTTCTCTGCTCTTTCTCGCTCTCTCTATTGTCCTTCTAAGGAGCGCATCCTCCCCAACACAACAGAGCCACGCTGACACAGTCGTACAAAACAACCCTTCATATGAGGTACAACAGAGAAGAACGATCCATCACTTTGTTATCGTGTGTAAAGGACGAGCTTCACTCCACCTGCCTCCTTTTTACATCCACATCAGGCACCCGAGGCCTGAACGCCGCCTCGTTATGTAAGAACTTATCAGTGGGCGTTTGGCAGTCGTTGGACTGAAAAGCTCCAGCA